CTGCTGCCGCGGCTGGGAAGGGGGGCGGGGAGGGGGGGGGGGGCTGACCGATGAGGGCCGAGCGGCCAGCCGCTCGGCCCTCGGCTTGGAGCCGGGGGGAGGGGAGAGCCGCCGGGCGGGTGGCCGCGGAGCAGGGCGGCAGGGGGGGAGACAGCGAGGCCTGGGCGGCTGAAGCCTCCCGAGACCTCGCTACGGAGGCGGGGAGAGGGAGGAGTCGCCGCCGCTGGCACCACCGCCAGGCAGGCGGTCGGGGAGCAGGGCGGCGGCGGGGGGGGAAAGCGAGGCCCGGGCGGCTGAAGCCTCCTGAGGCCTCGCTACGAAGGCGGGGGGGAAGAGCCGAGGGGGACGGGGGCGTACTTACCTCCGCCTTCTGCTTCCTCTGCCTCCCTCCCGCGGGCCCCGCCCCTTGGAAGGTGGGAAGGGGAAGGGGCGGGGAAGGGGTGAGTAGACCTGGCCTCCTGAGGCCAGGTCTACCCCTGCAATGGGAAGTGATGGGTAGACCTGGCCTCCTCCGGAGGCCAGGTCTACCCATCACTTCCCATTGCAGGGGTAGACCTGTATCGCGGGTCCCCCACTTGTATTAGTCTATATTGCTCTAGCCCCTGATGCTCCATCTCCATCTAAATCTAACGGCAATGAGGGAAAAGCCAACTATTATGAAGTCAGTCCCAGAGATAAAAATAGTCTTGATTCATTTACAAACTACACATTGGATAACATAGTGGATTCAACTAGCACTACTTCAGCAGTAGGATCAATGGGAGTCCAGACAGAAAATAATAGGGTGATTGCTCAAGGCTCTGAAAACTCTCAAACTAATTTACAGACAGACGTTCTTGTGATCAATTGTAGTCCAGATTATAATCTGGTCCTGTGGTTGCATTTTGAATGACCTTTGTTACTGCCTTTCTGAGGAAAAAGATGTGATTATTTCAAACACTCCAAGGACTGATTGTCAACCTGCCCTAACTCAGTGTTATGCATGTTAAACAGTGAGGCATTCAAGGGCATAACTCTGTTTAGGATTGCATCCAGATTAGACTACAGTAGTGTGCTCTACGTGGAGTCACCTTTGAAGAGATGCTTGGGAAATAAAGATTGGTACAAAACGCAGCTGCCAGCCAGCATTTTAACTGGGGCTTGTTTTATGCAGCATATAACTCTGGCACTGTTCCATTTTCAATGACTGCCAAGTTTTTTCAGGGCCCAATTCAAAATGCTGGTTTTGACTGCTGAAGCCCTAAATGGTCTGGTTCCAAGATAGCTGAAGGTTCGCCTTATCCCATGAAACTACCCACCCAAACTCTTAGATCTGGTAAGAGACCCACCACCATGTCCCCCTACTCTCTGTGCTCTGTTAAACAGAAACTCAGAAGCAGATTTTTTTTCTGTTGCAATGTCTGGGATGCTCTTCAAAGTGAGACCTGCATAGCCCCAACTCTTCCTGCTTTTCAATGGAACTGAAAAAAGACTGTCATTCTAGATCAGGAGTACTCATTCTGCAGCTCGTGGAGGGCCACATTTGCAATTAGCAGCAACCAAAAGAGCCATGTGACCACTGTATGTCCTGTGGAACACAGAGGAATTTCAGAGAGACGATATAATCAGGAAGAGGAACGGTTCCCAAATGGTTTCTGGTCTGTCATTTCAGAAAGAACCGTTTTAGAACCGGTTCCCTACCGGAATATATTTGTAATTTCACACACAAACGCTTCTGTCCCGTTTAGGAAACGGGGCTGAAGTGTTTTACCTCTTCCAAGTAGTCTTCAGTTTCCTCTCCCAGTTCCGATGCACTTTTTCCCGCTGTTTTTCGCCTGCGTGGGCGATCTTTGGCTTTTTTTTTTTGAAGGTTCGCTTTATAGTGCTATAGCGGTATAACACTATAAGGGAGGGTAAGAGAGCGGTGGCGCAGGGAGCAAAAGCACCTGCCTTAACATCTAATACAGCCTGTAGGCTGTTCGAGACCCACCGCGGCCAGAGTGAGCACCCGGCCCTAGTCCCAGCTCCCACCCACCCAGCAGTTCGAAAGCCTTAAAAAACAACTTGCGAGTAGATGAATGGGTATCTGCCTTAGAAGGCAGGGAGCACCCTCCTCCATTGGGAGGTGGGGTGGGACTCTAGCAGCGGCAATTCAGCGAGCGACAGCGGCGGAGCGGTGTGTAATGGTGGTGGCAGGCGAGGTGGCAAGCGGAAGTAAAGAAAGACGTAACGTCGAGCGGTGGCCCGGCGGCAGAGGCGGAGCCAGGAAGCGCAAAGACCCAGTGGCACAGGCGCGGCGGAGCCTGAGGGACGGAGCCGGAGCCGCGCTGTGGTCGGCGCGACGAATGGCCCGTCGACTCCAGAAGACCACCGAGAAGTCTGAAAAAAGAGGGGTGGGAGAGGCCGAGCTGAAGCCGGGAGCCGAGCTGAGACAAGCTGAGGAAATACTAACTGAACCCCACTGGGTGCTGGTAGGCAATCCCACCCCAATGATGTATGTG